CTGTTCTTAAACCGAACTACCACTACATATGGAACTAGCTCTCACAGGAGTGAAGGATAGCCATCAACCTGAATAACAATAAGTGTGCTCCCTGCTAGAAGATGCCTGCTGCACTGAGAAAGGCAAAGAGTGATGCCTAGTGGATTGCCAGATGATGTGTCAATGACTACTGGCTAAAGCTGTGTCAGAGTATTCAACTCACTGCTGATAGTGGCAGCACTCACAAAATGTACAAAGGCATGAAGACAGTCTTTGGACGAACAGTCTGGAAAACTGGACTGCTGAAAACCTTGTCTGGAGAGATCATCAGACTGCAGCAAGCAGATGAAACAATGGACAGAGCACTGTCAAGAACTGTACTCGCAGGAAAACATGGTCTCTGGTACAGCAATTGACTGCCTGTTTTGGAAGAACTGTATCTCCCTCCTTCCCTCAACGAACTAAAGAATGCAATCAGCTTTCATTTACAACAATAGTTTGAATGCAAGAAGGTCATAACCCACTGCAGCCAAATGATTCTATGGATATTTCAAAAACCTACAGGAGAACACAGGAACCTTAGTGGTGCAGCAATAAAACTGCTAGCACATTTTCAAAGCCAAGCAAGGTGCAGTATGGTTTTATTCTGGATGAATTCTGTGTTGAGTTTTCTGCATTGCAGGGGGCTGGACTAGATAACCCTGGGGATTCTTTCCAACTCCACTTTGTTTCATTTCTGTTAGTTCTAATTTTGAAACTCTAAGGTTGAAATTGTACAAAAGATCTGAAAACACTGACCAGTTAAGATTGAAGGACCTGGGAAATAACAGGGTCTTCACCAGGTGCCAAAAACATCGCAACATAGACTACATTTGTTCTCAAATACCTCAACAGAAGAATTTCCTGCTCTCAATATATTTGAGGACAGAAGTGTTAAAAATTTAAATGAACAATTTAGCTAACATAAAGATAGCTGTGTTGGTCATAGGAAAAACTCCAAAATCCACAGAAAGGCAATGCCTTTATTAGAACTAACCATCAAACCTGGAGTCCTGGAAATCTCAGAAGCTTGCTCACTATTTTGTGACATGTTGATTGGCCATAATAAAGATGTTGCCCAACTGAGCAGAAATGCTATCAAATGTGCTTTTAGCTCAAAAGCTTGCCTTTGGATAAGATTGAAAGCTTATTCAAAGTAACAAAAATTCCCGAGCATTTTGCACTCATGCTTTCTTTGCATTCAGTTGGAGATACACAGTCAATCATGAGCTTTCATGCCAGGTCTGGCAGCTTGCACCACAACACTTGGCTGTCTCCCCAAAATACTGGCAATGCAACCAATACTGATTTAAAGAGTTTCATTTTCTTTCCCACAGCATTTCTGAAGACAGAACTGAGTGGCAATTGTAGACAAATCTTTTGATTCTCCACCCCAGGACACTAACCACCTTCAAACTAGTAACACCAGCGTTTAACCAAGTTCAGTATTAATGAAGGAGTATCTAACAAATACCAACAAATGCACTCTTCTATACAAAAGTGATTTTGAAAGGTGAAAAACGTCTCCAGGAAGGAAGCTTGAACTGCTTTCCTTCTGAAGAATTAACAGAAAAACTCTCTGCTTGCCTACTCTTCCTAGGGAAAGAAAGGACAACATTCACTTCCCACCTCATCACTGGCAGGATGCCCTCTCCCTTTTAGATTAATTATGCAAAGTTTCCAAGCATGTTCTTCTATAGGCCAAGAACATTATGCCACTTCTAGCTATAATCCTTTCAAAAGCTCATAAACAAAGGCTTAGCACTTGAATAAAGAGACTGCAAGCAAAAAGTCCATGACAGCACAGAATAGAGCTAGGAGCGGCACACGTTCACATTCTTCTCCGTTATGAAAGCTAGCATTGCAGCAAGCGAAGACAAACACTTCCCTATTAAAAACCTCAGCTGGAGTGTATTAATACAACATAATTTTGAGTTTCACATAAAACACCACGACACCACAAACTCTGCATATAAATTCCTCTATTTCAGCATACAAGTTAATGTAAACAGTGTATCTTTCAATACAAAATTTCTACACAAACTGAAGAATTATGCAGCTCTAAAGGAAAATAATTTCATCTACAAAACATATATTATTTTGATGCATTTTCGGGCCCAATTGAAAGTACTGGTTTTGACTTTTAAAGGCCTAAAGCAGGGGTAGCCAACATTATAGCTATTTAACATAATATTTTATTAAAATACTACATTATTGTGTTTTTATGTTTATATTTTGTTCACTGACTTCAGTGGACTTAAAAGGCAGCTTATAAATATTTAAATGCACTTGGAATTGGGTTGTACCACTTCTGACTGCTGGTGGAGCTCACAAAATGGATGTTCCTACACACATACAATTTTTTTGCACATAGAAAACCCAAGCATGTCAGGGAGAATAGCCGACTTCCACCTGGCATGTCAGTTTTCAAGATTGAGGCAGTTTGGTATGGGGAAGCATTCAACCACATAAATCCCCGGTCTAAAAGCATACAACCTAGTCACAGGTTTACAGCCTAAGTGCAACTCCTGCAATCAGAGGGTGTGTCCTGGAAATGATGAAAATCTCAATTGTCATGCCAACCCTCATGGTTGGCATTCATGTACTGGCAACAATGTACTTTTGGCTACAGCAGTTTCCTTAATAATAATAATAATTTATTATTTATACCCCACCCATCTGGCTGGGTCCCCTCAGCCACTCTGGGTGGCTTCCAACAAGGCTCCCAAATCAGAGGACACATCCCTAGAAGATATCTCTGAAGAGATTTAAGATCTGACCCCAAATACATACAGAATTGCATTTAATGGCACATAACTATGTAAAAAATACTGTTCCTTCTCGCTATTTAGTCAAAGAAGCAAAAATAACCAGCAGCCATAGGAGTGTTAAGCACCTTGGAGAAATGTAGACTGGTAATTGAAAGATCTCTGTATGAAAGGAAGTTGAGCTTAGTTTTAAAGCACTTTACAAGTGCATAGAAGGTGTGCTATAAAGATGTAGGGAGAGTGAGACAAATTGAAGAATGTAACTGGTGAGAAGTATACAAGATAAATATGGGTGAAATTGGAAAAGGATAACAAAGACAGTCCCTGTCTTCTAGTAATAAACTACAGAAGTAGTTACAAAGGCACTACATACAGTCTCTCCTACAAACAGAGAACATCATCATCATCATCATTATTACTACTACTACTACTACTACTACTACTACTACTATTTGTATACCGCCCTTCATCTGAAGATCACAGGGAAGTGATCAAAATAAAAATCACTTGGATCTCATCTGCGACTACTGGCTCAAGGACTTTGCCCATGAAGGGGAAATTGGCAACTGACTGGCAATTACCGTATTTTTCGCACCATAGGACGCACTTTTCCCCTCCAAAAATGAAGGGGAAATGTGTGTGCGTCCTATGGTGCGAATGCAGGCTTTCGATGAAGCCTGGAGAGTGAGAGGGGTCGGTGCGCACTGACCCCTCACGCTCTCCAGGCTTCGCACACCTCTCCGCAAGCAGCGGGAGCCCAGCACTGAGCTCCCGCTGCTTGCGGAGACTTGCCTGCATGCTGAAGCCTGCGCGCGCTCAGCTCAGCGCGTCCAGGCTTCGCGGACCTCTCCGCAAGCAGCGGGAGCGCTCCCACGGCTTGCAGAGAGCTGCCTGTTTGGGGGCTGGGGTCGGGGGAAGCTCGAGCTTCCCCCGCCCCAGCCCTGCACCTGGGGGGGAAATAATTTTTTTCCCTTTATTTCCCCCCAAAAAAAACTGGGTGCGCCCTATGGTCCGGTGCACCCTATGGTGCGAAAAATACGGTACTTAGATTTTCCGAATCTATGAAAGGTTTCTTGAGGAGTGGTTTTACCACTGCCTCCTTCGAACAGGCAGGGACCACCTACTCTTGCGGCATCACTGCGGGCCCCCGGGGGCGGCTTGCCCCACCCTCGTGGGTGGCTCGCCCTGCCCCCGCCACTCTGGGTGCCGGAGCAGTTAGCTACACCCCTGCCTATCCCTGGCCCAGGCAGCTGTCCCCTGCCTGCTAGTTTTTATCAACAAGAGGGTTTAGGATCCAGAGTGCAAGTGGTCACCCTGACTGATCCAAGCACCTTGGCCACATCCTCATGCCTTACCAACTGAAACTCATTCAGCACAACTGGACTAGACAGTGCTTTTGACACCCCTTCATCTGCTTCATCTACAGATTTGTCTGCTGTAAAAGCAGAGTCAAGATCCTTGTGAGCACAAGTTATTTTATTCTCAAAATGCTTTGCAAACAAGTTACAGAGAGCTACCGTCAATTCTGCCACCTGTTTGGGCCAAATTGCAAGAGGCCCTGGACCACCCAGAAAAGCTCTGCTGGATGGCACAATAAAGATACAATGGAGTTCACTGCCACTAGGTAGGATCAATGATGAGCTCTCACCAATGTTCCATTTCATTCAACCTGAGTTTTCCTATGCTGGTGTTTGAGCCGTCTCCCAGCTTGTTTTCTCACACTAAGCTCTGGAGAATACCATGGAGCCAAGTGGGCTCCATGAAGCGGGAGAGGGTGCTCTTGTCCATGGCCTAAGCCATTCAGATGTTACAGCAAGAGCTTCGACTGAAGTGCCTGTCATAATAGCTGGGAAATTTCTCAGTCACATCTGGAAACCCATTGGATCTATCAGCCTAGAAGGTCCCTTGGCTCTGCAAAGGGGGAAAAGGTGCTGAAATCCTAGATCTCAACAGGAATATCCCCTACTTTCAGATCACTCTCTTCCTGTCCAGTTGAAAATACAATGTCCAGAGTGTAGCCTGCCGCATGTGTTGAGCCAGTGACACGTTGGGGCAGTCCCATGCCAATCAAACCAGGATAAGTATTTTTGAAGAATCCACTTCTATTTTCTCACACAGCATATCTGGGAAAGTACTTTCTGACCATTCTGCTGTGAATATAGAAAATAATGGGATGTTAATGAAAACATAACCTGTATCAAAGCATTAAAATACCTGTCTTGATTATCTCCATTCTTTTATCAGGGTCTATTTGTCAGCCGCTGTAGTGAGAAGCAGGCTACCTCGCAGATCTGTGGAGGAAAATGCTTTTCTGTTAACGTTCTTTTTTGTTTACATTTGGAAAAGGATAGCAAACATCTGTTTTCATTGACCCTGATGATTAGGCAGTGTCTTCTTCTGGCAGATATCTAACCCCAGTCATCCTCACACTTTCTTCCATTTTTTCAAAAAATATTCCTTACTTCCTCATTATTCTGAAATATGAAGACATCAACTATTAAGTGTTGGACATGGGTGGTCAATACAAAGTGGGGACTGAAAGAAGAGGATTCTGCTTTACAGCTCCTGTGAGAGAAATGATGGCTGACATCCCAGAAGAAAACAACTGGTTCTATTGCTAATAAAACACAGAACTGCATTGTTACTAAATTCAAAGATTTGCATTTCCACACAAAAGCACTTGCCTTCATCAGAACTGTATTTTGCTTTACCTTTTGACAAAGCACGTGCTGATCTTTCAGGCAGCTTCAGTACCTTCACACAGGACTATGAAATTTACTATTGCCTTTACTATTGTAGGTATAAAACTTGTTGTGTAGTGAAAACAGCCTTCAGTAACTACAAATGCAGTTACATCACCGGCTCATTACAAGCTTGTCCAAGAGCCATAGTTTGAGCACAGAATGGTGTCAGATTGTTTCTCTCAAGAGATAACTTAGAGTAGACCCACTGAAATTAATGAGCCCAAATTAGTGTGAGTAAGGCTAACATTGGATACAACCCTTTGTTTGCAAACAAGGCAGCATTCCTGAGAACTGCTGCTTCCAAATAATTCACTGAGAACTGAACAGTTAAACAGATTAAAAATTCAAGATACATACACAGTGACATTTTACTTCAAAGTGATTTTACAAAACCTCTATCACCGCAAGGTAAGTTAATCGCATATTCCATTCATTAGCAATGGGTGCAGAGGTTAACTTGCACTTAATTAGAATTAATTTTAATTTTACTGGAATAAGGAAGGCATATTATACAGCATCACTCTTAACATTGTATCATATAGCTATGAACAGTAGTTCTTTATGCAGATTTCACCAGTCTCACATCCCCTCTTCCCCCAAACACTTGAGCAGGAAGCATCTGCAAAAGGGAATATATTCTGGGAACGATGAGGCGACATATCACTGGAAACAGAGGATGTAAAAATAAAAACAGGAAAGCATATTAGGCTAATGTTTAGAATTCTGCTGTCAGTCAGATAAAGGGAACTGAGAGAAATGGGGGAGGGAGGAGAAGCATTTGATGTGAAGCAAATCCGTGAAAAGGGAAGAGGGGACACCTTTCATTAAACGAAGCTTATATGTAAGAATGAGCTTCCTTGTCATGAATAATTGGGTTGCCAGTTCTAATGCTCAAGCTCAGCTTTCCTTTTGAAAAGGGTGCAAAATTCTTGGCAGCCAACTAGAGTCACCCTAAAGGCAAAAAAGGGCAGAAAACCAGCAAGTAAAACAACCTCAACATTCATAGGAATTTAAGGAACATCTTGTTATTTCAGAGCCTCTCATGAAAAGGACCAAGGTGGGGGCTGAGCAGGCTTCTGCATGTGTCAGTAGCACTTCCATGCTTCAATAGTCCCTAATCATGATTACAATTATTAGATCATCTTAAGTAACGGACAAAGCTCCATGGCTCCATAGGTATCAAACCAGCTCATATGGTCATAGCTATTGAGTTTTTTCTTCTCTATAACCTCAAAGGCAACTATCCCACATGCTTTGCTGTCTTACATGTAACTAGTTACTAGCCAAAGCAAATGACATATTTAGGGCCAGCTGCAAGACTGCTGCACTATGACCACACTGAGCAAACCTAGCTTGATAACTGTTAAGGGCTACCCAAATGCAGTCTAGATAGAGCATGTTGCTAAGGCCATACTCACTGATCCCAATATTCAGTGCTTTCTTATGGCCATCTCTGAGTTTCTTAGGACAGAATTTGAATCTGTATATTGTTATGATACTAGTCTAAACTCAAATTTAGCAAAATCTTTCCATGTTTCTGTGGAGTCAACAAGTACCTAGACCTTAAAACTGGGTGTCCCTTTTTTATGTAAAAAAAATTGTCCGGAAAACTGTCTGTGGACAAACACTGGCTTCCTTGGCCTGACACAAGATGAGCGCCACACCCCAATCATTTTGACTGGACTTAACTGTCCAGGGGTCATTTACCTTTACCGTTATCTGTATACCTGGGCTATTATATATAAATTAAGATAACTTGTGAATAATTTTGTATACAACTCTCTGTATGTGTTTACTGTGGTTGCAGCCAAGTGGAAGCCGTGGTGGACGTTTGGCTTCCGAAAATCGTTCGGAAACCGGAACACTCACTTCCAGTTTTTGATCGTCCGGGAACAAAAATGTACGAGTTCCAAGGCGTTCGGCAACCAAGGTACAACTAATTTCAAATTATCTCATCCCCCCATACCCACATTTTAGGAAGGTTTCCTAATATTTTTTTGTATTCTGCAACCTTGGGGGCTTCCTCAAACCTGCCAGCACTCCCCACCCCATGCTATTTTAGTTCCAAAAGGATCTACACTTAGAGGATGAGTTTACCATTAACAAATAGGATCATTAGGTCACCCATATCAAGTGGGTCCAGTTCATACACAGTAAATAAATTAATTACACTGCAGCATCTCTTAATGTTAGGTTTAAAATGTTTAAACAAGCTGCATTAATATCACAGTAGATATTCTACCACGATTCTCTCATGTTTCACCAATTTTTTTATTTATTTTATTTTATTTATTTTATTTAAGAAACTGTAACTTTAGTTATAACATCTCCTATTTACCTGGTATATGGGAGCTCTGCTATTCAGTTTCCAAAATCTTGCAAATATAATTCTAGCTGCAGTCAATAATTTGTACATTAATAGTTTGAGGTTTAATATCCAACAAAATCCAGCTGACCGATTTGGTTTAGGTATGGATTTTACATATTTATTATCTTTATAGCCATTTCCCAAAATTTTATTTCACATAACCAGCAGATGTAGGAAAATCCATACACTGTACTATTTAGCTTGGCATTCTGAATTAACAGTAAACAGGAGATCCATTTGATCACTGCAGATGGTGACAGCAGTCACGAAATTAAAAGACGCCTGCTCCTTGGGAGAAAGGCGATGGCAAACCTAGACAGCGTCTTAAAAAGCAGAGACATCACCTTGCCAACAAAGGTCCGTATAGTTAAAGCCATGGTTTTCCCAGTAGTGATGTATGGAAGTGAGAGCTGGACCATCAAGAAGGCTGATCGCCGAAGAATTGATGCTTTTGAATTGTGGTGTTGGAGGAGACTCTTGAGAGTCCCATGGACTGCAAGAAGATCAAACATATCCATTCTTAAGGAAATCAGCCCTAAGTGCTCACTGGAAGGACAGATCGTGAAGTTGAGGCTCCAATACTTTGGCCATCTCATGAGAAGAGAAGACTCCCTGGAAAAGACCCTGATGTTGGGAAAGAGAAGGAGAAGGGGACGACAGAGGACGAGATGGCTGGACAGTGTTCTCGAAGCTACAAACATGAGCCTGACCAAACTGTGGGAGGCGGTGGAAGACAGGAGTGCCTGGCGTGCTCTGGTCCATGGGGTCACGAAGAGTCGGACACGACTAAACGACTAAACAACAGGAGATCCAATATTTTAAGATCTAAACTTCAGCCAGCATCCTGTACCTCACAAAAGAATGTACACTAGAATTGGACAACTAAGTCTTTCACATAAATGTTAAACTATTATCCACTATAGATAGATAGATATAGTTTAACAGCAAGAAGAAAAGTGTTGTTTCGTTGATGAAGATAAAAGCAATCCTCCACAGCATTATTACTGGAAAAAAGCCAAGGGTGCTAGCTAGAAATTTTAACACCCATACTTAGAATACATAGTGCAGGTGCTAAAGGTTAGACTTCTGTCAGAATGTTTTAACACTGTGTACAGTTTGTTTCAGGCAGATTATGCTCCAGGAACTTAAACCAGATGGCCACAGGCTTGTAATTGCACTCCAACTACATTCATCTCCTTCACCTATACAGCAGTTGACATGTCAAACCATGAGCCATTAATTTGAGGGTGTACAGAAACAACATCAAACCATAAAAGCACATGTAAGCTGAGGGATAGTGAAGGAAAGACATTTATTGTGTGGGTCTGCATTCACATTACTGCCTTAAGGCACACTTGCAAACCCTGGTACTATGCCTTTTCCCTGCCTTTGTGGGCCTTCCTTCGCTGGACCACAGCCTTCAGCTGTCAATCATGAGCACCCAGAGCAAAAACATAAAAGCATACCCCAATACCCCCAAATAATAATCATATCAGCCATCCTGTGACAATGAGGCTAGATAGCTGGTGTGACACACACACCCCAACCAAGTCTTTGCTACGCTACATCTTGCTGTGAGTGCTAGAGAACTCACTCCAGCTACAAAAAGGCTGCTGCAGAACAAGCTGGAACAATCTCTTGGGTTGGGGTATTGCCTAAGCCTTTCGGATGGGGGCTCTGCTACTGTTTTGAATACCCCAACTGTTTAAAATGTTTTAAATTGTTCTTAAATGGCTTTAACATGTGGGTGTTAAAATTTGGAGGTTTTTTTCCTTTTTAAATAAAGGTGCATAGGATGTGCCTGAGAAGCGAGGAGTAGTGAGCAATCACAGTGGTTTAGGGCAGAGGGTGGGTGGGAGAGGCCAGGTAAGGGGGATACGGCACATGCAGTCAGTGACTGCATCATGTGCCAGCCCCTCCTCCAACCTGGGGAATTGCAGTTGTCCTATCAGCCAGCCCCCAGGTCTACTGTTTCTGAATGCCAGGTCAGCTCTGAGTAAGAACTCTCTCATGATCTGAATATAGATGAGGAGGCCGTTCTGGTCTGTATCATTGACACCTGGATGGTTGAACAGGTTGGAGTGGATCTCATTCAGCTGTGCCCACTTGAGTACTCAGGGCAGACTTGAGGATCAGGGAGGGGGAGTTGCTGTAGTCTATATAAATCCCCTTTCTCTCTCCAGGCTCTTTGTCCAGTTGGGGGTCGAGGGGGGGTTAGAGTGTTTGTTCCTGGCATTGGGTAGTTGGGACAGATTAGGGATTCTACCACCTGCCTTGCAGCCCTGAGCTCTCCCTGCCTGCACTGACAGTCTTGGTGGTGTTGAGGACTCTCAGGCTGCTGAGTCTATATAAGGGTGTTGAGCAGCGAGCAGAATTCAGCAAGGAGCTTCTGAAGCTAAGCACAGTGAGAAATGCCTGCAATCTGGCTCCAAAGAAACTAGCTGAAGTCCACCTTGTGGTAAGAATGACTGTGAAAGATGGACTAAGGGTAAATGGCATACAAGTTAAATAGTGTTAAGAACTACACTTTGTGAACCAGACTTATGTAAACATCTGTTAACTGTCATTTAAAGATACAAAGGCCGGCACTTCCATGAGGCGAGGTCAAGCAATTTGCCTAAAGCAGAAGATCCAGTTCCTAACCCACCCACCCATTGCACCGCTGCCAGCCCTGCACACCCATACCATAACTGCTGCCACCACAGCACTCCTGCTCTCACTGCTAACACTGCAGAGCTGGTAGTGGTGCGGCCATGACAGCAGAGCCAAAGAGGGGGCCTGGATCTGCAGGTGTCAGGGTGTCAGGAGGGCAGCAGTGAAAGGGCATTTTGCCTAGAGCATCAAAACATCCCGGGCCACCCCTGAAGAATAAAGTGGACTTATTACAGCAAACATAAGTCTTAAATGTAACCAACTGAAGTATAGATGAAGGCTTTTGTAAACAGAATAATATCAATTTGTGGCAGTGGTTAGAAGGTTTTGAATGTATGTGCACAGTGGGAGTGGGAGAAAAGTAAGAAATGCTCCACAAGCATTGGTGAATTAGCAGAGTTAAATAAAAGCTGGTTCTCCATATATAAAGAAAAGGCAGACTCACCATAGTATTATTTTTACTCATAGGAGTCCATCAGCAAATCATTCCCATGAGTTATTGCAAGGCAGTAAGGATGTATTTCTATGGGATGCCTCCAGATTTTAGGCACTCATGTCTGATTTGAATTAGGCATGGGCATAAATCCTACCCAGAGGGGTGACTTGTAGAAATGTTATTTCAAGTGCAAATTGCATCATGGAAAGCAGTCCTCATCCAGTAAGTGTCTGCAAGGGTAACATGCCTTTTCAATTACGGTTTTTGTTTTAAAAAGGGAACATCTCTTCCTGTATTGATATCACAATTCAAAATGGTAACTTTGCTGCCTGTATTATAGCATTAAAAGATGCTACCTGTGATCTATAACAGCAGTGCATTTAACATGATAGGTAATTCAGTTCAAAACAGAAATTAGCCACTGACAGCCTCTACATCGTGTCTGGCCCCTAGCTGACAACCCAGGAGGAGGAAGAGGAGAGGCCAGAACTTAAGAGCTGACCATCACCTCCTAATCTTGCCTTCTCTTCTCTAAGTTGCATCTCTCTCCTTCCATTCTGCTACAATCTCTCTCACACTAAAAACATCCTGAAAATCAGTTGATGCAGAAGCTGTACTACAGTACATGAACTGTTACTAGGCAACTCCTCCATTCTCTCCACCCCAGAAACATTTAATGTTGGAGGGGTGAAGGAAACAACAGTGGCTGGAAGGGGCAACAGGTCTTTGCTGGGGGGGGGGACCAGGCATAGGAAAGGGAAAGCACAACCTGCCACCTCCACTTACTACTTAAGATAGCCCTCAGGAAATCCTATTGCCAACTAGGTCTTTTTTAAGGGGAGGGTTACAGTGCAGAAAAGTATTGGTGTTGATTATTCAATAGAAATCTGTAGTAACACCTTGATAGTCTAAACCCTGAGCTCTGAACAGATTTTAAAGCAGGACAGCTTCTTTTACAACAGAAAAGTCATTCACCCTTAACGGTCCATGAAATTCCTATGTTACAATGGGCTCAGATAGACATTTTAGCAAGGCAGGTAGGAGCCAGCTGTGGGCATATTGCAAGCCTCAGTCTTGAACTCAAACCAGCAGGACCTGACACTACAGAGCAACCTATTTAATATGTTAAAGAATGTGCTTTTTTAGGGGGGGGACTTCCTGGGGTTGTTTTTAGTTATATAAATAAAGTAATGTAGTAAACCACTTTTGGAGAAACTTACCATTAGAGAGAAAACATCAAATATTGGACAGCTCTTTCTGGGACCACTTGTGAGGCTCTACCAAACAAAATCATTCTTCTGTAACAGCAAGAACATCATTCTATGAAGATAGCATTAGATGCCACTTGGAGATGCAGCCAGATGTAATCTACAGATAAAGAAGAAGAACATGTTTTATAAAGCAACTCTCATTACAACACTCCTAAATCACTGACCTTTTACTTAGCTTCAAGAGAGAGTAGTAATAATTCTTAGCATTTACATCACACTTGCAGTGTTCAAGGGGCTTCGCACATGTAGTCCTGCTAAGCCTTACAATAAGACCAAATGGTAGGTCTGTATTATTTGCAAACTGAAAATTGGAGTGAGATGTGAAGTGGCAAAGGTCACTCAGTGAATTCAACCCTAAGTGTAGAATTGAATAGTGAATTCTCAACTCTTGGCTATCACATTGGGCAACAGATTCCTGCATTGCAGGGAGTTGGACTAGATTACCCTTGTGATGCTTTCCAGCTCTATTATTCTATTAATTTGTCTAATCCTCTCTGCTGGGACAACCATTTCCACCACAGAAAGGACTAGGTTCATCAGTCTTATCAACTCTAATGAAAAAGCATTATTCACATAAATTTCTACTAGAAATGCCAGCCAGAGAGTCCAATGACCTTGTCCCTTGTGGGAATAAAACAGTCATTTTCCCATTAGGGATTCTGAAAGTTGAAGTCCCAGTGCCCTCCCTAGCAGGAAGTGATGTTCCACAATGGAGCTGGAGTATCCTACCACCCACTTCAACTGTCTTCCCTGGCACCACAGGTAGGTTGTTGGGATGCTTAGCTAACAAAGGAAGAAGGCAGAAGAGAAGAATGCAGGCTTTTTGTGGGCACGCAAAAAGACTTGAAGTTATTAGAAGGCTTAACTTGGGTGCTTGTAAAAGTGTGAGATTGTTTAGCTCAGGGTGTCCATGCAACCTTTATTTTATTTTGTCAGAAGCATAAATTAAGCACAGTTCCTAGTACAAATGACATGTCTCTGGATCTCACAGAAATATGTCCCTTCCTCAATTTTCATTATCAGGCTACCACAGCTATTAAAACACTGCTTGATTTCTGAAGTATGTTCCAGGGCTCCCTCTGCTTGAAAGCCACCCGGTGTGCTGACTGTGGAGAAATGCCCTCTGCAAATTCTTTATCATCACTTCTTCTTCCAGAGGTAGGCCATGGCTCAAATTAAACCTTGCTACTTGAGAAATTAATTCCTTACCACCTCCCTTCAAACTCTCCACAGAGTCACTACCTTGCAATTCCCTGTCCCAAGAAAACCATATGCTGATAATTACTGCACAACACCCAAGCTCCGAAATTATCATTGCAGCTGGCTCATAAAAACAATTATTACAGCTCTAAGAGGAGCATGAATTTAGTCCTGCTGAATGACATATTTCTGAAGATGTGAACTTTGTAAATAAGACAGCAGCTTATATGAAGATGAGCTTTCAGTACATTTCATGCTTTCTGTAGCGTAGCTAGTTACTTAAAGTCCACCATTTAGTCCTCTTACATATATAACTTCAAGGATTAGAAGGGAAAGTACACAAAGTGCCATCCATGATAGAAGCAAGTTGATTCAGTACAGAACCAATGTCACCAAGCTCTAAAGGCCTCTTGGCTCAAAATGACTTCAGCAAACTACAGTCATGTTCTGACTGTGGAGCTATGTAAAGCAATCTTTACTAGAAATATGTCCTACTAAAGCTTACCTCAGACAAGTGTTGTATAGGACTCAAGGCACTATGTTCATTAAAATACTACCATGACAGTCCAATAGCATGCATACCTAATTGCAAGTAACACAGAGACCCTATGCAAAGTTGGCACACCTAAGGCCATTGACTGCCTCCTATTTCACAAGTCTATCCATGTTGATCTTTCAAGAGTTGCTGCTTCAAGTTGCACCACCATTTGGGATGCAGTGGGTGGTTAAGACAGGGCACAACTTTTTCAGCAGTACCATCAAGGATGTGAACCTCCCTGGAGGTTAAAGCAGGGGTTTTTTCAGAGCCTATACAACCTGCTCAACATCTGTGGGACTAGTTTTTGCCAATTTCACTCCTGTTGAATTGAGCTGTTATTCTCTGTCTTTAGTTTCTGCTTATCAAATGTCATGTTTCATTGTTTCGACTATTGTTTTTCTTTTTATTGTGGATTTTTGCTATCATTGTTTCTATAACAATTCATTCCATTTTTGTTGGCCTACTTTCTGACAGTACAGTACAGTATGGGTTTTGCTACTGCTCATTTTATTAACTGCATCCTGCAATTCTGTTTCAGTTCATTTTTATTTCCATATTAGCTAAAAGCTGTATCATCATTTCCAGTGCAATCCTAAGCATGTTAATTCATAAAGAGATCCCACCATATTAAATGGGGCTTACTCCTAAGCATGCATAGGATCTGAGCCTTAGGCACCATTCCTAAGCATGCTTCATAGGGAGTAAATGCAACATTACAAGCTAAGGGCGTTTGCAGATGACCTAGTATTGACCTTGCAACAGCCAGATACTAGTACTAAAAGAGTATTAGAACTAATTGAGATATTTGGTCAAGTAGCAGGATTTAAACTGAACAAACAGAAAACGAAAGTGTTGGAGAAAAACCTAACAATGGCTGAAAAAGAGAAATTTCAGAGTGAACAGGTTTAGTGATAACAAAAAAAGTGAAGTACCTCGGGGTAAACTTAACATCTAAGAATGTGAACTTATTTAAGGACAATTATGATAAATGTTGGACAGAAGTAAAGAAAGATCTAGAAATATGGTCAAGGTTGAGACTTTCCTTGTTAGGCCGAATTGCTGTCATCAAGATGAATGTATTGCCTAGAATGTTGTTTTTATTCCAGACGTTGCAGATTTTGGACAAGATGGACTGTTTCAAGAAGTGGCAAAAAGACATATCTAAATTTGTCTGGCAGGGCAAAAAGCCCAGAATTAAATTTAAGATTTTAACTGATGCAAAAGATAGAGGGGGGTTTGCCCTGCCGGACTTAAGACTCTACTATGAATCGGCAGCTTTCTGCTGGTTGAAATATTGGCTGCTTCTTGAGAATACAGACATTTTGGATCTGGAAGGGTTTGACAATAGATTTGGCTGGCATGCATATATATGGTATGACAAGGTAAAATTGCATAAAGGTTTCAAAAACCATATTGTTAGGAAAGCTTTATACAATGTTTGGATGCGGTATAAAGATTTATTGGAAAGTAAAACTCCCAGGTGTTTGTCACCAATGGAAGCTAAAGAGGTGAAAAAACTTAATATGGAGCCTAAATGGCCAAAATACTGTGAAATTTTAGAACAAGATGGTGAAAAAGTTAAATTACAGAGTTATGAGAAATTAAAGTCCAAAGTACGAGACTGGTTGCATTACCCTCAGATAAATGAGATATTTAAACAGGACAGGAAAATAGGCTTTCAGATGGAGAGGTCAAAATTAGAAACAGAACTGTTAGAACCCAATACTAAGAACCTGTCAAGAATGTATAATTTGCTGTTGAAATGGAATACACAGGATGAAATGGTGAAATCAGCTATGATTAAATGGGCACAAGACATTGGTCATGACATTATGTTTGCTGACTGGGAACAGTTATGGACCACCGGTGTTAAGTTTACGGCATGTAATGCCTTAAGAGAAAACATAATGAAAATGATCTACAGGTGGTACATGACCCCAGTCAAGCTTGCAAAAATTTACCACTTGCCCAATAATAAATGCTGGAAATACAATGAGACTGAAGGTACCTTTTACCACCTTTGGTGGACCTGCCCGAAGATTAAAGCCTTTTGGGAAATGATCTATAATGAAATTAAGAAGGTCCTTAAATGTACCTTTCATAAAAAACCAGAGGCTTTTCTCCTGGGCATGGTCGGCCAATTGGTGTCAAGGAAGGATAGGACGTTTTTTATGTATGCCACTACAGCAGCAAGAATTCTTCTGGCAAAGTATTGGAAGACACAAGAACTACCCACTCTGGAAGAATGGCAGACGAAGGTGATCGACTATATGGGACTGGCAGAGATGACCGGCAGAATCCGTGACCAGGGGAAAGAGACAGTGGAAGAAGACTGGAAGAAATTTAAAATATATCTTTAAAATTGTTGTAAAATTGAGGAGTGTTAAGATGTTAAGGAACTAAGAAATAGAGAACTGCAGCTGTAATCAATAAGAAAAAAGAATTTAATGAAAGGGAACTCAATAATTAGTTAATTGGAGGAGTTGCTGAAAAAATGTGAAACAAGGATGCAGAAAAGGGGAGGTATGGGGAAGTCCGGGAAGCAAGGTGTATGAAAAAAAGGTTACGAAATTATACATGTTTATATGTTTGTATGTTTGTGTATTGTGTATTGTTTGTGTTTATTTTGTGTTTGGAAAACCAATAAAATTTATTTAAAAAAATAAAAAAAGGAAATGTAACTGAACACACGTGGACTTACTTCTGTGTAGACATGCAAAGGACTGATTTGTAAGCTGCCTTGTAAATCAAGTTGGATATATAAATAAAATAAACTGATTAATTTCTAAATAAAATAAATTAATGACCTTAGGCATAATTAATTATGCATAGAATTGGGTTTCAAGTCCCACCAACTTAGGTGGAATTTACTACCAGACTGATATGCATATGGGTGCAGCCTAAAATTGTACTTTAAGTGAGGCTTACAAAATCATCAAAAGGTATTGAATCCAGATTCATAAAAATGTACTAGCCCACCTACCTATTTACTGACCCATTTTATATTTGGCCCGTCGTTGCATAGTGATCTCATTTGCTGCTATATTAATATATGAGAGACAACAATAGCTTAAACAAGATAAAACAGTAACTCATTTTAAAAGCTATTCTGGTTTATTGCATGAAAGAAACAATCTTACCTGCCAGTGTCTAGGTATGCAGCTGCTTGCAATACAATTTTAAACAAGCAATCAAAAAATAATGGATTCTATCAACATAACATTTCAAAGAACCAGGAAGACACAACCAAGTTTATTTGGTGGGCATCTCACTAACAGCAATACATACCTCATTGTGCCTATAATCTTTTAAAAGCTCCACTTGCATGCCAAGAGTCATCAAGATGTTAAGGTGCACAT